GATTACAGGCACGTATCACCATGCCCAGCTAATTTTATATTTTCAGTAGAGACAGGGTTTTACCATGTGGGCCGGGGTGGTCTTGAACTCCTGATCTCAGGTGATCCTCCCGCCTCGGCCTCCCAAAGTACTGGCATTATAGGCATGAGCCACTGCATCCGGCCAAAAAGAGGTTTTTAAAAAGAAGTAGAAAGGAGAATGATGGTTACCAGAGGCTTAGAGGGTGGGGTGGGGAATGAGGGAGAGAGAAGTGGAAGTTATTGGTCAAAGGGGTTCCAAGTTTCAGTCAGACAGGAGGAGTAAGTTTTGAGATCTACTGCACAGCACAGTGACTATAGCCAATAATATATTGCATACTTCAACATAACTAAAAGGGTAAATTTTAAATCTCTCACCATAAAAATTAGAAGTGAGGTGGTAGATATGTTAACTGGCTTGATTTAATCATTCCACATGTGTACACAGATCAAAACAGCACACTGCACCTCAGAAATGTACACAATTATGATGTATCTATTTGAAACAATATTAATAAAATTTTCAAAGAAAAAAGAATATTTGATGGCATAGGAAATTCCAGTTACATACAATATAATCCCAATTGTTTAAAATATATCATTATAAAACTAAGAGCAGATGATCAGGAACACAGATTCTGCAGTCAGACAGACTTAGGTTTAGTCTCAGGTCTACACTGGTTGCTACTGCAGCTTAGATGAGCCTCTCAGCTCTTCAGTTTCATTACTTCCTCATCTGAAAAATATCATCTTCCTCATGAGTCATTATGGAGATTAATGAATGCATACATAACGTACCTATCACCATCCCTGGAACATTGCAAGCAGTAAATAAGTATTATTATTATAATGATTGTATCCACATTATAAATTCTTCACCTACTGATGCTGTGGGTAATCAGTTCCCAAGAGATTTGAATATAATGACATTCTCTTCATACTAAAATGAACTGGCCATAACATACTCATGCAAAGATTCAGGTAAGAATAGTCTTACCTGCCTTTAAGAGGGCTACCAAAATTGCAAATGCATGTAACCCTTTTACTTAGCAATCCCACTTGCAAGAACATCTCTTACAGAAATGCCTTCACATATGTGAAATAACATTCACTATTCACTTTTGTGTAAGATTTTTTTAAAGACAAATGTACCTTAAAATGGGATAGTGTGCTGCTATGCAAAGGTCTCCAAGATACATCATACAGCAAGAAAAGCAAGATGAGTACCAGTATAAGTGAGATGATACCTTCAGTGGAAAATAACTTTACACATTGTGTTTGCATAAGTAAACACTGGAGGAATAACAAAAATCAACACATGTGGTTACTTCAGGGAGCATGAACTGTTTGGGGGAACAGGAATGGGACTTAGACTCTTCGCTGTAAGTCTTTTTATGTTACCTGACTTTTTAAAACTTTCACTGATGTATAATATACACATAGAAAATTGTACATAAGTATAGCACTGAATTTTTTTTTTTGAAACAGATTCTCACTCTGTCACCCAGGCTGGAAGGCAATAGAACAATCTTGGCTCACTGCAACCTCTGCCTTCCGGGTTCAAGCAATTCTTGTGCCTCAGCCTCCCAAGTAGCTGGGATTACAGGCATGCACCACTACACCCAGTTGATTTTTGTATTTTTAGTAGAGATGGGGTTTCAACATGTTGGCCAGGCTGGTCTTGAACTCCTGACCTCAGATGATCCACCAGCCTTGGCCTCCCAAAGTGCTGGGATTACAGGAGCGAGCCACCACGCCCGGCCCACCACTGAATAAATTTTTAGAAACTGAACACAACTGCATGATCAGGCCTGTTAATGAAGCAGAACATTGCCAACCTCCCCAGAAGTCCCCTTCATGATTACTTCCAGCCTCTCCACTTCCCCAACAAAAACAATCATTTCTAATACGTATTCTTCTGTGTCTGACTTCTTTTGCCTAAATCGTTTGAAGAGTTCTCCATTTTGTAGTGAGTAAATTCATTTCTGGTGCCAGATATTACACAGTAATTTATTTGTAATTTATTTTCCAGTCTACGGTGATGGGCATTTGGGTTGTTTCTAATGTGGCACTATTACAAATACTAATCCTTTTTTTTTTTTTT